TATATTGTATTTTTTTTTTTTTTTTTGGTCTTTTCAAAATAGGATTTTAGTATTCTACACATTCTTTGTTACTAGAGATGGGGTCCCTTCATCGTGTAGAATACACTTGGAATAAGAAAGCGACATTCCATATCTGTTATAAATAATAATGTGGAATGATAGGAGTAATTGGAAAGCAATGAATTCAAAATGCAAGAGTGAACTAATCGATGACTAATGAAACATACCATTAGTAAAAATGAACCACTTGGCTGGCAATAGATTTTTGTTTGAAGTAATCATGCAACAATGCATAATTTGTTGTATCTTGCTTTGGTTGAGTTCTTTTTCTGGTTTTTTACTTTTATTCCTGTGGACGGTAGAGAGTCCGTAGAATCAAATGTATATAGATGAACACAAATATAAAAAATTGAGTTTGGATAATTAAAAGCATAATGTGTGGTATAGAAGCAAGGATAGCAAAATTTTAACACCCCATGGTATGATATGTTGAAATTTGTTGAAATTAAAAGCATAAAGAAACTGATATGAAGCTTACTACTATTGTTTTGTAGGTCCTAGCTCAAGTCAAGCCACACAAAAGCAGACAAGGGGTCCCACATATGTGCATGGTCAATGGGGTACTAGTGAAGATGGCATTTTAAAAGTTGTTCCAAATGAGTTGAATCAAGTAGTTGAAGGACACACATCCCCTGTTTCACATTTGGGCGTTTTGGCACGAGATGGGAGTCTTGCACCACTCACTTTTATGACTTGGCATTATGTTCCAAAACAAAACAAAGATAACATATGGAGGGAGATAAAGGTATATATGGATATTTAATATGAAATAAGTTACAATTGTATTCCATATGAAATGCATATTACAAGTGTAGTTGACATTGCATATTACAAGTGTCTATAATTGTAATGCAGGCTCATACGGATGCAGATGAATCCATGAAGAGAACAATAATGGCTTCATTTGGAAAGAAATGGAGAGATTGGAAAAGTCGAGTGAAAACAATGGGATACAAACCCGTCAAGAATGATGCAGAAAGATTGGCTCATCGACCAGATAGAGTACATGAGGATCAGTGGTGGGCTTTGGTTTACTATTAGGGCACTCAGAGTGCATCGGTAAAATTTTATTTATGTGAAAAAATGTTTATATATGATAATTTTTTATAACATCTTAAATAAATTTCATATTTGACGGAAATCAAGCAAGAAGAATAGAAAAATCCGGAAGAAGAAGACATTACATCATAGAGCAGGCCGAAAGCCTTTCTCAGTAGTTCGACTAGAGGTATAAATTTCAGTTGACTTGTCATCATCATCCCTATTGCTTCATTTTCCAAGCACCTGCATCAGTTATGCATATATGTACTGAAAGGAGTTGCATAACGTGTGTGTGTGTGTGTGTATTATGATTATAATAATAAGGAGCTGCATCATTGTGCTTGCAAATTATGATTATAATAATATGGGTATTGTAACTGTTGGTGATGGAGATACTTGGGTAACATCAAAAAGTTCCTCTAGTTTTGGGTCTTTTTTGGATGGTCATTTGGTACATTACCAAGCTTTATTAGAATCAATAGAGTGGGCTTTGCCAATTCATCTTGGACAATCAAGAACTATCTTGGAATGTCTCTTTGTGGCACCTTTGATATCTTCAATTTCTTGGAGTAAAAAATGGGAGATGAGTTGTTGTGATCGCTCGGGGTTAGGGTTAGGGTTAGAGGGTTGTCGAGTGAGTGAACAGAGCTTAATGGAAGTTGAGGAAATGGTGAGAGATGGGGAGAATCTATATGCGGTGAGGATTGAAGGTGAGAATAACAACAATATTGTCACGACCCAAACCCGCCCGTGTAGGTTTAGCATCGTAACCGGCCAGTAATCCATGGATTACCAAAGGCCTTTGAATACATTAACAAATAGTAAGGGGCTGTGGAAGCAATATATAATATAAACAAGGTCCAATGAGCTGTGATGACGTACATGGAACAGAACATTTCAAAACTTATTTATATACATAACATTCCAGTCAAAACGTACCAATATCTACAAAGTGTACATCCCAAGGTCTAACTTTACAACATATTTACAAGACCAGCATGAACACAAAACAGCCATAAGACTTGACTTCAAGCGGAACCTCCTCGGGAGGCGCAAGGGTTGGCTGACAAAAACCAAGGCATAGGCCGTCAACTCTGGGCCTGGTCACCAGCTTGTTCACCTACATACATAGTATAAATGGTGAGCTAAAGCCCAATAAATAATAACAGAATAAAGGAGTTTAATGAATGATGTCCATCACAGAGTTAGAAATCAGATTCATATACTTATTCAAAATCATTTCCATATTCAGGTTGTAACATAATCATACGTGGTACATCCAATAGCGTTCACAAATCTGATGACCCATAAAGGGACCTGATGACCCATAAAAGGGACTTGATGACTCATGTGCACAGAGACGTTCTGATGACCCATAAAGGGACGCATATCATGTAGTGCTAAGGATGCCACGGTTAACTTTCAGAATCTTGGACAATCATTCATTCGTTTCCAACATATCATAACGTTTTAAAGAATCAATCATTTTGTATCATAGTATTCTGAAAATACATAACATTGAACACAACTTTACAAAGTTACGACTCACAGATGATTGATAGCTCTAAATAGATGGTAAGGCGGCACTCCACTTTTTTTGAGGTGCGTGACCTATATGAACACACATACAACATACACACTTGAACATCCATTCGAATAACGCACAACTTGTTTCGTTTGTTCTTAATGTGTTTCTAACCTTTAATTCTCATTAAGGAGTCTTAAACATGGCTTAGGATTGCCTAGGATGAAATGAGGATGCAAAAGAATGCCTTAGAAACATTTTTAGAAATTTCAGAAAAACAGGGTCCTGCTCGAGCGTGGGTTTCCCCGCTTGAGCGGACATGCAACAAAGGGCTCCACTCGAGCGTCAACTCCCCTGCTCGAGCGGACTGCAAAAATGCTGGATAGGTAAAATTCATGCTCGACGGGCGCTTGATGCCCGCTCGAGCATGAGACACATGCCCCCGCTCGAGCGTCCATTTCCCCGCTTGAGTAGACTGTAATGCAATGCAAGATGCTGGGAGCTCGAATTCCCCGCTCGCGCGCAACTTCCCCCGCTCGAGCGGGAGCCCAAAATCTGGAATTCCCAGATTTGAGTTCCAATCTCAAAACCAAGTTTTAATGCATAAATTTTGATCCTCTTGGGCTAATTTTCTGGAAAACACTTCAAAACCCATAATATTACATGTTTCAAAGATCAATTTGAGAAATCAAAGCCCAAGGGTGGTTCAATTAAATCCAATTTCAAACCAATTTTCAAGAACATGATCTCAAATGAACATGCATGAACTTAAATCAATTCAAAGCTTTAAATACAAGTTCAAATGAGTCTAATCTTCCAAAAACAAGTTGAATTCATGGTCCTTACATTAACATGAACATGCATGTGGGAATTTATGAACAACAACCTCCAAAAACGAGAGATATGCACATGCATGCATGGAATGAGCTCTAAATCAACACTTTTGAACCAATTGTAATCTCAACTCTTTAGCATAGCATGAAACATGCAAGAATTAACTTGAATTCAACAATAAAAGGTTGAATCTCCTACCTTAAGTCTTGAATTATAGGCAAGGAAGCTTAATCTTGCAATTCACTCTCTAATTCCCTTAATCTCCAAGCCAAAGTGAGATGAAATCAACTCTCTCTCTTGTCTCTCTCTCTCTAGTCGACTAGGACAATAAATATGGCTGAGGAAATGTTTTGTTCAAGTGTTGTACAATGTAAACAAAGCTTCAATATATGTTGGCTAAATGGCCTACTCAATGGCGTAATGGTAAATAAATTAAACTCTTGCCAATTAGCTTAATTTAATCTAGTTTAATCATACCAAATCACTTTTCAGATAATTACACCATAAAATCACATTAATTCTAATTAACATAGAACATCAATCAATTTCAGATTCGGCCGCCGATAAGGCCTTCAATTCGCAGTTTAAAGCATAAAAACATAAACAAATAAGAAAACAGGCAACAGATGGAAATATACAAACAACGCTTAGCATAGGCAAATTAATTCCAGATTTCTCCTAAATTACTATTAGGCATAATTAGTCATGACTTAACGTTAATCGGGGGTCGGGGTTATTACAGATATGGTCTTAAATTGGAGAGGAATTCCGTTGGTGAGAGTTTCTTGTTGGAGGTAAACAACAGGAGGTCTTCTATTCAAGTCCGTACTTTGCTCGATATATGAGACTAGCTATTAATCACACATATCCGGAGTTTTACCTGGAGTCTTACCAAAGTGGGATCAGGGGTGAATATATTAAGAAAACCAATTACCAGCACATAAGAGAGGAAAATTTTCCATCTGTATATATTCATTATGTGAATATTGTAAAATGTTGACTGCATTGTATATAAGACTTTGATGAACTAATACATGGTTCTGTTACTATTTATTTGCTTCAAAACACACTTTGTCCTCTTCATTTTTAGAATCCTACTTTTAGCCTTTAGATCAACTGTCAGACTTGGCCACCTTAATATGTTGGATTAGGAAAATACTATCGCTGTGACAAGATTATGCTCTGGCATGTCAACAGATTAGCCATGTCAGACCCCTTTTAAGTATTGTTAATAGCTTATCTGAATCTTTTTTAATCTATGATGAACCGTCCTATGTTTAACCATGTCAACAGACTAGCCATGTCTTTGATATGTTCTCTACATTTGATCTTGAAGTTATTAATGTTACATAACTAAAACTGAAACTTATTGTTGTTGTCAACTATATCTGTCTATATGGGCTAAAAAGAACAATGGGGTTCCTGCTATATGAATATATCTGTCTATATGAACCGTCCCAAGTGTATCTGTCTATATCTGTCTATATAGACAGATATATGAATCATCTATATGAATATATCTGTCTATATCTGTCTATATGAACCGTCCCAAGTGTATCTGTCTATATCTGTCTATATAGACAGATATAGACAGATACACTTGGGACGGTTCATATAGACAGATATAGACAGATATATTCATATAGACGATTCATATATCTGTCTATATAGACAGATATAGACAGATACACTTGGGACGGTTCATATAGACAGATATAGACAGATATATTCATATAGACGATTCACGTCAAATAGTGATTCAGTTAATGAGGTTATGGTATGTGATACTATTTTATCTTTGAACTTTTAATATGATTTATATTTATATTGGAGGCTAATTATTGAATTCAAACTTGCAGACTCAAATGAATGAGTTAACAGAGCACATGGAGGGATCTTCTACTAACCCTGCAGCATTACAGGAGCAAATCTTCACACAAGTTATGAGCTCAGAGTGACCTGGCCGTGTTCGGACGTTTGGATTGGGACCGTCACCCACTGA